CTACTACTACTACTCCTCCTCCTACCCCTACTCCTACCCTCAAACCAGTTGCCAGAAACACAGACAGGAAACCACAACCGGTGGTCACGCTCACGCAATTTCATGCAGGCCTGGACGTTAGGCCGAACCCCTATAATACGATACGGAGTCTGCAGCCCCAAACACCCAGTTGACATCCTTTCGACCCTCAACGACCCTGGCAACTTCGAGAGCTGGGACAGTTGATCATTCAAGCCAGCTGCTATGTTCTCCTGACAAAGCTGCACCAATGGCATCAGCTGGAAGTGATGTGCCAGTTTCAGAAGCATTTCCGCCTGGCAAGTCAAGCACAGATCTGCAGCGGACCAATTTGGAGGTCTTGTCTGAAGCCATGAGAAAAAGCCCCGGATAGCAGCTGCACCGAGACATCCCGGATCGCAACGTTCAGCCGATAATGTTTGCTGAACCTTCAAAACATCTATCTGAACTCGGCGTCAACGACCAACCACTAAGCCACAGCAAGCCACTGGTAAAAAACCATGTCATACCAGCATGAACATCGGCACCTCCGCAGGGCTGACAGGGTCCATGTAGCGGGAGTAGACCTGAAGTGAGGCCCGGGGTCTGTGGCTCTGAGTCAGCTTGTCCGTGGATGAAGGCAGAAAGCAAGAAAAATGGTCTCAATTGCTCCCAAGCAGCATGCTGAAGCAGCTGCTGCCTCATTGATTTGGGTCTTCGCACATCTTGCTGAACGAACTCCGAGCAACGCCCCGAACTCTGTGACGCTCTGCTCCCGTTGTTGCGACAAGGACAGCAACGACGACATCAACGACGAACCACCACCAACACGACGACCACGACGACGATAACCACCACCATCACCACCAGGACCAGCACCAACAACAACTACTCTTCCTCTGGCGATTGCTGCTTCCGTTTTCTTTCCTTGGCGACGACGATTACGAGGACTTGCCCCTAGCAGTTGGGAAACTTGGTCCATGAAATCAGCATGCCCAAACTTGGGCGTCAAGAACGCCGGGGTGCACTGCTGGAATGGTCACACCCTTTCCATTCCTGAGTGCAGCGGGCAAGTGTTGAAAGAATGAAGTCGCAGGTGCCGTGGTGGATGTTGTCAAACCCTCCTAAACCTCATCGCCGCATCACTGCCACCAAGACATTCTACAAAGTGCCGTGCTGCCATGTTCGGTTCTAGCCACCATTCTCTTGCTACACAACCTACCCGCATGATTGCCTGGACCTTCTTCATGACACAATGCATCATTGCTGTGGTTAGGCTAGTTGCCCGCTAGCATGTTGCCTTTGCTCTTCGTGCTACTACACTGCCGTCATGCTTTCCCACCATGGGTTACCATAGCTTGGCGATTGATGTCACGGTAAGCCTGGAGGCTGGTTTCGGTGTGGCTTTCAGTTTGTATACTGACTGCTACGATGCTTGGCTTGCCATAGCACTGGACTGGACTGACGAAGTTGATGGAAACATAACGATCGAACATTGGAACGGGGACGCAGTGAAGCCATTCATGCAGGTCAACCTGTATCAAAGAAGGATGTGCCAGATGGAAAACAGGTTGGACATAAGGACGCAGTAGTCATGTCATAGCTTAGCAGCATTGGCGATCACCTTTCGGATCTGAACAACTCGGGATCTTCAGCAGCGGCTCAGTGCCACAACAGGCTTTTCTGCCACCACCTTCGCCAGCGCAGGCGCGAAGCGACGCAGCACGGCGCGGTGAACGGGGAGCCTCCTGAAAGGATCTCATGGTTTCGTGGGGATCAGTCTCCAACTACCCAAGATCCTGTTTCTACTGTAGGTCCGACACTGCACGCTTGAACTGCCCCATGATCTGCCGAAAGACTCAGACAACCATCTACCGTGCGTCGTCTCCCAAGTCATCCATCGTTCGTAGACGCAGGCCAAGAGTGCAGCAATTGGTAAAAAAACGAAGGCAAAGAGCTCCCAAATTCCAGGCTCCGACCAAAGCTACTGAGATCCGAACAACTTCATTCCAAACACTACATCATGAAACTAAACCGACAAACAACTACACGCTGGACACCACAGCTCAGCCCAGCACGTATCGTCGATGAGAAAGGCTGCATCCGCGGTCGCCTCATCCAGGAGAAAGTCGAGCCTTGACTCTGTGTGGCACTTCAGAGAAGGCAGGTTTTGGCTCGAACAGGGCTTAAGGTTTCGGCTTGAGACACTTGGAGGTTTACGCCTATGGCTTGGATTGTGAGGTACACTAGCTAGATATTGCACGCTGCATTGCCGCTGCATCGCTTTCCCACTCGCATTTTTCCGCTCCGCAGTGCTAGCGAGCACCCCTCGGTCGTTCTATCATGAATTTGATCCCTCAAGCTGCCGCACAACATGCAGCAGCAGTGCATCGGGAGTGAGTGATTGCCTTCTTGCACCTACTCTTCCTCAGCGCGCTTGCGCTTACCGGCCGTCGCAGAACCTTTGAAACCATTGATGGCTTCTGCTGCCTCTGCTTCCGGCACGCCTGCCGCGAAGAGGCTGACTTTCAAGCCGATCTGAGGCCAAGATTTCATCAATTCGACGTAGGCCGGCGACTTGAGCACCTCTTGTATGTGGTCTTTTATGTAAACCAGGCAGGCCTTCTCGAGCTGCGCGGCTTCGAGCAAATGTGCCTGGGAGAGTATGTTGCAAACCTCGGGAGTGCAAAGGTGCTCGCAAAGTCGCATCTCACACCACCTCTGAAGACGTGTCACCTCGTACTTGTGGCTTACAGCAAGCAGCGCCTGTGTTTGAGACAGCCGCGGGTTGCCTGTTTCGTTCTTACCGCCAGTCTTGGCCATCAAGTCCTCAATCCCTTTAAAGCTGTCTGTGTACAGGAACTGCAGAAGGCAATTGAAGGTGTCGGGGTCGGAGTCTTCGATCACAACCACCCTTGAGGCAGATTCCTGCATGCCACTGGCCAGCTGCTTCTCGAAAACATGGGAGCGTGCAGAAAGGATATGTGAATGAGCCTGGAGGCTCACTCCCTGCACCATGAACTGTACGTCACTGCCGGTTCCTTTCTCCCACAAGGCTTGTGTGTCCTGATGCAGGGTTGACCCTGGTACCTCCACATTTGTGAGCAGAGGCTGTGTGTCGAACGTTCCCACTGGGTGGACTTCCAGTACGAACTTTGCCGTCAACGTGTCATTGTCAACCCACGTCGACTGTAGCAGCTGCTGGTGTGTCAGACCAAAGATGCCAAGAAATGCAGGGGCGTTTTCTGCCTCATGCACATCCGGGCCGTATGCTGTTGGAGGCCCGTCATCCACATCGTGCAGTTCCTCGCGAAGCTCTCCCCACTGCACGAACTCTCCACTCCGTGCTTCTTTGATATAAATCCGATACCGCAGGACAATTGGATCCGAACCCCAGAAGATAATGGCGAGGGATCCTCGTTGCGACAATGTGCAGTTCACGATGCCTCCATCTGGTTGGTACACGAATTGAAACTCGTAACCACCGACCTTGAAGAGTTTGGACACTACACAAAACAGGCCAGACTGCCGCAGACGCAGCCGAGACCATGAAAAGCTGTCGATCTGCCAAACATACTCACCCTTGGCGACCTTGTGCGCACAGTTTGTACGCTCTCCACCACTGGCGTCTTGTGGGTGCTCTTTGGAGGCGACAGCTTGACTCCTTGGCCCTGCCGTGAGACAGTGAGGCCCATCTTCATCACGATCAACTTCATGGCGATAGAGTGATTCCAAGGCATTCAGCCTTTGCCTGTTTGCTAAGATGGTCCTCTGAACGTCCAGCTCGCGCCGCAGCCTCTGTCGCTTTTCTGCCTCACGGGTCAGCACACAGAGCTCTTGGTTCCTGACCTCGGCCGCTTGAACTTGCTGCTTCGTGCTCTCAATTTCCGCAAGAAGGCCTTCAGCTGTGTCAGCGGCCATGGCTTGAAGAATCCGGGCTCAGCTAAGTCTCCTAGTGAGACTCGTATCTCGATCTGACCATGACATGACATGCCCACATCTTCTTGAAACGGGTGTCCACCCTGGCATCCTAATCGGCTAGCCCGACATGAAACCACGGAATAATAACATCAGTTGGAGCCGTTCGCCTGCGTGCTCGTTACAGCACACGACAATGCACGGACAGGGCGGGAAGGGACTAGCGGCAGGACACTGGGAGAGCCCTTCAGAACCTTGGATTGCCGCGCCCAGCAGCTCACTCATCCCCTCGGGCTTGCGGTCTCGGAAGTCACGGGCACTTGTCTCTGCCCTCCGGCTCAGCTGCTCACGGGTGATGCGAAAAAGGCCTGGGTTGCGCAGCGACTTAAATTCTGGGCTTCACGTCTAGGACTCGAGGGTCGGTGGTCAAGGTTTAGCAGATCAAGGCTTCCGAGCTTCAACTCGATGAGCTTTGAAGGCTTCGAGATCAGCTAAGGAGCTGTGTCCCACGTTTGGCTCTTCGGATGCCGGGTCCGAGCCCTGCGAAGGAGAAGCTGAAGAACAGAACAATGCGTGGGCCTTCGCAGTATGAAGCCTCTCATAGTGAGAATGCGAACAGTAACAATCGAACCAATCCAGGCAACAACAGCGACGACGACTCCAACACCGACTGCAGCTGCAGCACCAAGAAATATGCACCTGATGGGGCAGCCCTAGTTTACAAGACACCGCACTTGACTTGAGATGGGAAACTCTTGGACATGTTGAGTGCATCATATGTCTTCGCATAGAACAAAACTTAGGAGGCTATCTCTTGGAATGACCAGCATCAAGGCCTCAGACCTGGTATCCGGCCTCCGTCTGCTGGTAGGCCACCACCTGGAGCAGGTCAACGTGCCAGGCTGAAAACCCCTCCTTCTCTAATGATAATATTTTGGGGGTTCGTTATTATAATAAAAGTATATTGGGCCATTCTAATAATTAAGGCCCCTATATTAACCTTGAACCCTTCACCTAAATGCCATTACAGAAATGGAACAGTGAACCCATGGCGAGATAGCAGGGCCTGCTCGAAACGAGAGTCCACGGACAAGGCTGCGACTTGGATTTTCGGGTGTCCGAGCTGCTGGCACAAACTACAACATGCGCAACATGTGAGCGGGAAGTTATGTGTATATGACGAAACACACAAAGTCAGGTTTATGTGTCTACTGGAAGCCGAAGCCCCAAGCCATGGCACGTAACCGTCCGCCACGGCGTGCGCGACTCGGCCGTCGCAAGGTCGGGGCCCAAGGAGGAGCGGTGGCAGCAGTGCCCAGCTAGACCTCTGTTGGACCATGACAGCCATGGAAGCAAGGAAAACTGTTCTGCGACCTGAGGTGACCTCAGACCTCGCGTTTAAGGACAAGGCGCCACTGCATGACTTTCTGGCAGTGCGGCGTTTAGTCTTTCACGGCTCCAGGCACCACCAAAGCCCGGGTAAAGCCCAGACCACTCTGTAAACAGGGAAACCCTGCGCCTGAAGCAAATGCGAAAGCCGAAAGCCTGTTGCTTGTGATGCATTTCTGGGTCTGATCGGTGTCTGGAGAAAAAAGGTTTCACATCGCATCTCCCCGGAAGCAAACGCTTGAGCAACAGTCCTGGCTACCAACCTCTCCCAGACAAGAGGCTTTCCGACGTCGTAACCTTCGCTCAGAAACTTGGGGGCTGAGGGCGGTGAGTCTTGAGACTGCTATCCCCCGCTCTTGGCTACTGTGAAGGTTCTTACTTCATCGTACTTAGAACTGCTGCCTTTTGGAGGCCGCTTCTCACCTCCCAGTGCTTGTACTAGGCCGGAATGTTGTGAGAAAGACAATAACGAGAGTGAAAGTTGCCGAGGAGACAGCAGCCAGAACCGTGTGGACCGAAAAATGCAACCCAAGGATAATAAGGCATATGTTGACACCGATGCAGATGATGTGCCTCGTTTCAGCCGGGCAGCAGTACACGTCTTGTGCGCCGTCACCACCGCCGAAGACGAAGACTTTGCCGTCAGATGCCACTGATGAATGGGCTGTTAATGCCTGAACGAAACCGCTTGCCTCCGGCTACAGGCAATCTTTATGCAAGACAAGAACTTCTTCTTTTCGTGCGTGCATGTTTGTGACAGCATTCTGGCCCCCTTTCTGCTGCTCTGCTGCAGGAGGCCAGTTGCTGGGCGATGCACCCGCAATCTCCTCGAAGTGATGCTCCTGCGTGGCGAAGACCCCCTCTACATGCGACATCATCATAGCGGAATGCAGATGCGAAAACCGCACCTTGGCAAGAACAACCGAAAGGCTCAAGCCCTAATTGTCACTGGCACATTGCCGGCAGCCTACAGTAAGGTCCGTAGACCGCAGCACTCCTGAACTTGCCCTGCGGACCCCACCCCCGCGCCAACACTTTCGAGTCACTCTAACAAGATGCCTGCTCAGCCACAATAAGCTCGGACGCACGACGGCGCTGTAACACACTCTGCTCTCTGCCACAACTCTCGCGAGTTGTGTTTTGGCAAGCCCCAAGTCCTTCGTCAGGAGTCCACAGAACCCCGGTAAGAACCCCAAACCGAACCCTCAGCGACAACCTGAAGCGCATCCTGCTTCAACCTACACCTCAGTCCATCCTAGCCCCTAAAGTTGAAGCCTCTGCTCTATCCCAAAATCGCACCGCCGCCTCGAGATCGAAGGAAAAAAGGCCACTGGTTGGCTGCACGCCACCGGCCTGATCTTCTGTTTCGGAGGGCGGAGGGGGGCTCTAGTTCGTTCAGGCAGTTGAAGGTTTTGCCAGCATTTTGCCATGTGACCCTGGTCAGCTTGCAAGTCAATCTTAAGATCTCTTCTCAAGCCGAACCCTCTGCACGAAATGTTGGATCGTGGTCTTCTCCACGTTGTCTTGTGCTTGCGTCTGTTCAGCATGGTCGTATCCCGCAAACCGCTGCACCAATCCTCAGCTCTAAACCCCAGCCTTGTGTAAAGACCCACACCGAGGAGAAACCGAATTGCGAAGATGAATGTTGGAAGTCTAGAAAGAATGTTGGAAACGAACCTTGAAACTACATCCATTTATGCGTTTACCGGCAAATGGGCGCAGAATGAATGTGGAGAAGCTTGAGGCAAGATTTGGGTGCGCAGTGTCGGTTGTTATTTGGTTCCTTGGATAGTCTTGGCAGGCTGTGTGGGAACAATATGGGTTATGTGGTTCCTCGGATAGGTTTGGCAGGCTGTGGGCACAATGTGGCAGTTACGATAGTTGAAGCGGCCACCACCTCATCACGCTTTTGCATCCAGTTTGCCACGCAAAACGGCTGTATTGAAAGGATGTTCAGGTCTGGCCCATCGGAAAATTCATTTTGCCCAAAATGAACATCCTTCCTCTTTGCCTGCCATGCTCAGGCTCGGCGGCCATGGGCGGGGACAGGATCGAGGGAGGGGGAGTCCGGGAGTACGCTGGCCGCCCTGGCGCTGACCTCTCCGCCGTCCTTCCTGGTGGTTCAGTAGGGCTTCACACTCGTTGTCACTAGGCTTGTGTGAAACCTAGGCAGTCCTGATGGAAAGCAGGGAAAACAGTAGTCCTAGGGCCCCTAATTCTGCATCTGGTGCCAAGATCAATCCCAAACTTAAGCGTTTACAACTCGGACTCGCCACACTTAAGCTTTCAGGCTACAAACCCAGGATACTTGGCGTTGGAGTCCCTGACACCCTGTTGCAAGGCCCCTGAAACCCACGAAGATCGACAACCCCACATCCGGCTAGCTTCCGACGTCGCCGCGTGGCCTCGTTGCTCACACACCCACCAAAGATCCAAGCTCTGTGCCCCTGCACCACGCAGCTCTGGCCTCGGATGCTTTCATTGCGGTTTCGGAATGTCTTATACGATTCAATATGGAGACGGAGAGGGAGTGAAAGCGTTGCGCGTTATACACATGTGCCTGCTTCTCTTTGCTACGGAGCATTCATTGGCTGCGACTGCGCACCTTTCACTTGCGCATGTTTATCCATCGGTTCAATCTAAAATGGCAGACCATGTCCCAGGTGTCCGGCCAAATCGACAGCCCTGGTAGGACACTCCCGGCTTCGTCGCTGGGAAGGTGCCAGTATACCTTGCTTGTCCAAGGAGGCTTCTGAGGGCGGGCGAAAGGATGTGAGATTCGCTCAAAGGTGTGGCAACACCGTTCAGGGTCAAGGGAATAGCTCCTGACGAGGCTACTGGCTTCAGGGTAGCATGGTTTAAAAACCTTCAGCATCGTGTAGTTAACAGTGTCTAACATCGGATTCGCCAGGGACGCCCACTCCCCAGCTTCCGAAATTCAGCTCCTGCTACGCGCAAACCCCCAGCCCTCGTCGCCCGCCCGAAAGAGCCTCATGCCATATGAAGTCCAGCAGTCGAAAGCGTGAGGTTCCGCCCCATTCAATTCGCCGCTTCTAAAGCTCCGGAGCTTCTCAAGACTCGGGCCTCGCCGAAGACTCTGAAGAGTCTAGCTGCCTAGCTTCGCCGAAGCTCCGAACCTTTGAAGCTGAAGATACGAGCTTCGCTGAGCACACACCACCAACTTTGTCTTCGAAGTCAGGAGAAACTGGTCCATGCCGAGTGGCTCCACTTCCGTCCACTCGCGTTCCTCCAAACCTTGGTAGACTTGCTTGCTTGGGCATCCCGTATTCTGAGAGCCTACGGCTGGCATCATGTCCAGAAACCTGATGTAGTGCCGCACGATGTCGGACAACAGGTGAAAGGGGTCTTTGACGGTGGGACAACCACATACCGAAAACCCTGAAATAGACGACTCCAAGATCAACTCGGACAACTCGCACTGTTTAACAAACATCGAGGGTACCTTTGAGCGCTCTAAGCTCATAGTTTGCGCCAAGTCAATACATGGCAGAAAAATGAAGGGCGTGCTTTCTTGTTTGGAAAGGGCAGGCTAGTCTGAGCCCGCTTCCAAGGCCCTCCTGATGGCCTCCCGGCCTTTTGCAAAGGGACCAACCCAGAACCAGAGATATTACATTATGACATTCGGGCGGGAGGTGAGGACGCAAAAGCGGTAAGTCATGCTTCCAACCAAGGAGGGGTGCACAAAGAAGTCAGCATCTCTTATCCGGACTGTTAGTGATAGTGCACTGCATACCAAGGGTCTGAAGCAGTAGACGAACGAGCCCGTGACATCACCAGGGAAGTGCTGCAGGCCACAGAGGAAGTAGAGACCTTGCATCAGGAGCGGCCCACAGGCCCAGCTGCAGAAAAAAAAATCCAGGGCAATGGAACAGGCCTCTGGAATTGCAGTCGACTTGAGGGTCTCTCGTGGTTCTGGTTGCTTCAGGCCAGTCTTGTTGGAAGAATTCTCCGGTTCTGCTGGCAAGCGGATCACACCAGACTGAGTCACGCGATGACAACTTTGCCAAGGTGCTGCAGTCGTACGGTGCCTCGGCTGCGATGCGGGTTTGCAGGGTGCTTGGGGACGCTTTTGGGGTGCGAAGCCCAGAGCAGTGATACTACCCCTGCCGTGCTACCCCTACCGTAACCGCAAGAACTGCCCTCGTCATCGGTTCTGCGTTATGTTTACAATCACTTCATGTGAACCGAGCCTTAGAGCTTACTTTGCTCAAAACCTTGACCTCTGCCATTCATCGCCTCAGGGTGAACCCGGAGTCGCTAATCCCCGACTACTGAACGGTCAACACCCGAATGCCCACACTAACACCCCAAAGCCCCCAACAAAGCCAAAGGTGCGAGGCTGAACCCATGCCGTTGCTTGGGCGCAATTTGCGCGATGCCCGCCTCCACCAGCTTTTCCTTCTCCGCCTGCTTCTGCGATTTTGGTCGTAATATAGCCCGAAAAATCTGCCTTCGTTTACGAGAGAAGTTGATTCGAGAATATGGGACTTTGACTCCCACCTTCACAGGAATCCAGGTCAGCTTCTCTACTACGGATGGCCTTGTATACCTTGAGTCTTGAATAGTTGCCAAACAGGTGCTTGTATGCATGCGCGCATGTTCCAAACATCCTCCATTTGCTTCATACTACATCAGCTTGTTGTGCCTGAACTATAATATACTGTATCTTGTACTGTTCAGGGCTGCATCCGGCGACTGATTAGAGGAGCGGTTGTCCTACGTGCTTTGCTTCAAGTCATCACGTTTGCAGCCTCAAGCTTGACAAGAAAATTACTGCACCCACGGACAGAGGGGAGGGAGGGACAGAGAGAGAGAGGCAGACGGAGAGGTCGTCCTAAGTTGATTTCCTTCAAGTTCTGACGTTCGTAGCCTCATTACAGGAAATATTGTCTGACGTGGCCTGTGCATGCCTGGCTTATTATTGCTTTGTTTACTTGTTGCCGTCATCTCGCGTGCCTTGGAGGCCGACGAAACGAAGAGTGGCTCCAGAGCCGGGAAGGAGTCGGGATTCGATGTGTCGAGGCTGTACACCTCATGGGGCTGCGGCTTATAATTCGACTCCACGCAGCACTGCAGTTTGGTCGGGTGTAGTTCGGGCTTAGGGAGATTCAGGCCTCCCTGCCCCGCAGGATTTCCGAAAGTCAAGGCATGACCGCTGTCCCTCAAAGCCCACAGTGTGCCCGAATCCACCCCACGGCATGCCTCATACCGGTGGTCGGAGCCCCAATGAGATGGGCAGTGAAGAAGGCAGGCCTCCGGGAAAGCACGCAGGTTTTGGGGACTCCAAGTACAAATGGCAAGTTAAACGACACCCTCTGTTTGAAGTAGGTCTGCACAGCTGTGCCCGGCCACTTGTCAAAGGCCCTCAGCAGCAAAACTTTACGAGTTCAGCCCATGCATAGCACTGCCTGCACACTCTGCCCTGCCATCATCCTGGCCCTAGATCCTACAACCAGGGTTTCTGACCACTCGCACTGGACAACGTCAGGCGAGGTTTCGGGCGACAACAGAACAACATGTGCTCATGACGAGCTCGACGGAATCATAGCTACGATCCTGGGGCGAGTCCAACACCAGCACATGTGCTGACAAGACAATGTGCGTCTGAGGTCAACATCTCCAGCATGAAAGCATGTCCCTGACTTCCCATCAAGACCCGAATCAGTATGTCGCCTGATCTTTGGCTCACCAACCCACGAGGAAGAAGCGGCTCGTATTTCGTGATGCTGATAGAAGTACACCATACACTCCCCCACCCGCAGAATGCCCTACAGTTGCGACTAGAACGCAGGTGGAAACCTCGAAACTCGAAGCCTTTAAACCAAAACCTAAGCGCCGATTCCTACTCCAAGCCTTCTCGGGGCTCGCTGGGGATGGCACTGCCGCATGCACGGCCAAGGAAAGCTCCTGGCCCTCAGTGCATTTTGCATGCCACTTTCCGGTCTCACGCTACGGAAGGGGTTTGAGCACTCGCTCTCAGACTAGCCAGGCCAGGTTTTGTTGTGATTGATGCCTTCTTCGGTCTACGTAGGAAACAGATCTTGGGAGGGAGCCTTTCGTGTCGGGTTGAGCTTTCGGGTTTGAAGCAGGCTTACGGCTGCAGGACTCGTCGAGTTTACCAAGGCCTTGCGGTCTATACATTTGCGGCCTTTAGAAGGCCAGAAGGTTTGTTGGGCTTGCAAAACTCAAAACACAGAGAGGGGTAGGCTTTGGGCTTTCTTCCTTGGAGTCTCTGTAGGGGCAGCTGGGCCCTTTCGAGGGATCTTGTGCTTGCGGCTTCGGTCCAGCACGACAGCAGAAGAGGCCCGAATTTTTGAAACTGTTTAAAAGCAACAACGACTGAAATCGTCGAGTTTAACTAGCTGATCTGATCCAGGGTATGGTCCAGCAAAAGCCGAGCCTGGCATACTACCACGGGCAGTTTTTGCTTTGGGACGTTCCCAAAGAAGCCCGACTCCCGACGCGCAATATCTACAGTACGTACCACAAGGAAATGCTAAGCAAAGTATGCTCAGGTTCAGACACTGCCGTCTTGTTCCACAGCCAGACAACCCTACCCTAGACCCTGCCTCGCCGAAGGTCTCGCTGGCCACGGCGAAGCGCCTTCTTAAAATCTTCGAGCCGGAGAGAAAAGTCTCTGCCCTCCTAAAAACCCCATGAGCCTGACGGTTTGGTCTTGCCCGTCTTCAGGTGTAAAGTGTTTCTGCCGGAGGAGCAAGATTATGACAGTGCAACAAGAATATTATGTGCATGCTCCGCACCCCTCAAAACTACCTCGAAGCTTGGATACACAAGTGTATATATACATATATACACGTATATATATATACATATATATATATACACACACATACACTTTGCGTATGTGTGTACACACATGTATATATATATATATGTGCACACATACATATACATAATATACATATATACATATATATAAATAAATATATATATATATATATGTATATATATATACATAGATAGATAGATAGATAGATAGATAGATAGATAGATAGATAGATAGATAGATAGATAGATAGATAGACATAGATATATACATACACACATAGATATGAAATTACATGTTCAGTGTATACCCTC